TAAAACATAAAACCACCCTCGTGGCCTTAGGTTCTAGTGGAGGGCAAAATGAACCAGGACAAACACGAGTTTATGAGACCTTGAACCCCACGAAGGGGAGAAGTGAGGTCTGCATAGGGGTGCGGAGTACTGGGGGCCAAGAGAGATTCAGGCTGCGCTGAGAGGTGCACAGGGAGCTGAGCACCTCTGTCTGGGGAAAGGACTGTCCCAGGCCACACCGGGCATGCGCAAACAGCCTGCTTGCGAGGACAGCAAGGAGAGCGTGCCTGGCACAGCCCAGCCACGCTGTGGGGGTGGAGGCCAGGGAGGCGGGGGGCAGCCTCGGAACACGCTGGTGGGCGGCTTAGGCCAGGGAGGGCTGGGGCTTTTACTAGAGAAGGTGCGAAAACTTGGGCAGGGCAGTGTGTGTGCACGTGCACCTGCGTGTGTGGTTTAAATCACCGGCGTGTTTGGCTGCTGTGTTGAGAACAGGCTGTAGGGGGCCAAGAGTAGACGCAAGGAGCGTATTCTAGAGGTTGGCGCAGTAACTCGGCGGCAAGAACAGCGCCAGGCAGCCCAGGTGCGAAACCTGGAGCCAGCGTGTGTGCACAGTGGAGGTGGACCCGACAGCCCAGCCTGGTATGGACATAGTGATGAGGGTTGGGGGTGGTGGGTGTCTACCTCTTTGGACCCTCGATGGAGGGAGTCCACGAAAAAGGCAGATTTGGGGAAGGAAGTCAGGTGTGTTGAGTGTGCACACGCTGACACGTGCACTCGGCAGGCAGTGGCTGCTTGTGGGGTGTGGGGGTCAACAGGTCACCTGGTGCACACTCCGCTACTGTAACCAGAATGATGCTAATGCAGCACGTTTTGCAAGAGCGCCTCTGTCTCCCAAAGCCACACACCCCGGGTGTGGGTGCGTCTGATCCTGCAGTCAGCCCTGAGGTCTGTGTGGCGTGACATCTTACTTGCCCGTTTCAAAGGGATTAAAAGCCTGCCTCCCTGGCCTCCCTTTACCATATCCCCAGGAGGAGCCATGTGGTTGGCAGTGGAGAACAGCTTGGTTGCTCTCGCAGCGCGCTTGAAGGCAGTGAGAAAAGCCCTGGCTGCAACAGACGTGTCCAGAGACGACTTGGCTCCTTGGGGCCCCCAGAGAGTCGGGGAGGGGGGGCTGAGCAGAGGGTGCCAAGACAAGATGTCACCTTCCCCAGGCACTCAGAGGTGGCTGCCACAGCACCAGCTCCCGAGCAAGCCCGTAAAGGAACACCAGCGTGGGAGGAGCGCAGCACAGCGTCTAAACGGCGGCGGCGCGGGCACAGGCTATCCTGGGTTTACTGCTGCTGCCAGCGCCGATGCCTTGTAGAAGCCTTGGCAATTAGTGTGCCTGGCCCTGCAGACCCTCCCTGCAAAGCATCAAGTGCCACGGGAGAACGCAGCAGCCCCGGGCAATCGCACCCTGAAAACCTCTGGTTGAGCTCTCACAAGCGCTGACCCTCGCTGGGCACCGGCCACAGAACCACTGTGGACACAGTGGTCAACTGCCCACTCCACAGGGAAGTGCAACGACCCATTTACTGCCAGAGCATGAGCACTTATTTTGAAATTTAATACAAGTTCTGCATTTAGATGTCTTGCTTTTATTTAGTTACTTATTTGAGCGCAGAGATAAAGAGAGTGGGAGGGAGCGCCCATCCGCTGGTTCAGTCCTCCAGTGGCCACAACCAGCCAGGACTGGGCTGAGCCAAAGCCAGAAGCGGGGACCTCAGGCCAGGTCTCCCACGTGGGTGGCTGGAACCCAACTCTCTGAGCCTTGGCCACCGCCTCCCAGGGTCCGCAGCCGGGAGTGGGAGCAGGTACAGAACCCAGGCCCCCACTGGGCTCAGCACCCACCTGTGGAGGTCGTATTTTTCTTCAATGAAGATATCGGTTTCCCCAGCTCTTGCTGTCCTGACTCAACAACACAGCTTTACGAGAGCAGTGTTCCCCGCCTACTCAAAATGCAAATGCTGTATTCTTTGTTAATGACAGAGCAAGCACTTACAAGAGTCGGAAAGAACTTGAGGTGTGTGTTGGTGTGCAAGTAAACTTGCACTTAGTACCATTCTGTAATAACTGTTTACTTGAAGGCATAGCTTTTGATTGTAGGAAAAATAAACAGGCCCACTCTGAATGCAGAAATGTGAACAGTGAGTGACTACTTCATTCATTCATTCATTCATTCAACATCAGTCCAGTTAGGACTTTTCAACCCACTGCAACTTAGCTGGTTGATCCAGGAAGCCTGCTCTACAGAGGGCCCTGGATATGTGGGTTACATGCACAGCACCTGGCGAGAGCGTCAGCCCACAGACGCTGTCAACAAGGCACAGGGAGTGTGTTCTTTTCATCAAACTGAACAAAGACTCGGCGCAAAAATCAAGGTTTCAAATCTGATGCTCCCCGCTTTTGGCTCTAGACCGCCTGGCAAAGTGCCTCATTCAAGAACGTCCTAAAACCAAAATAGTAACAGGGAGTGGAGGCTACTCAAACTGAAATAAAACTCACTTATAAACAAGCATGGGTAAACCCAATCCAAATAGCTAGTGCAATTATTTTTTAACAGATAGTTTAGGTTAATAGGTGGAGACACGGTTCTGCCACTGTATTTAAGGTTAGGTTAATAATTAACTTCGGTGCCTGGAGTAGTTTAATCAAAGCTTACTGTAAGAGCCTGAACGCGAAATTAAAAACATACGAACTGCTCCCAATCTTGACCCCTGGCAGCAAACTGGGAAAGGTGTACAATACCACAGGCCATTTTCACTCGGAACCCAAACAGGCATCTTCACTGTGGGGAAAAAACATCAATAAAGGATTAAGGCCTCTGGAGCCGCCCATCTCCCCGGCCAGCCTGTAGCAGACCATGGGCTGAAGGCCCCAGAATCCGCCTACCTGGGGACAGGAGGCACGCGAGGCGAGCCAAGAGCTCCCAGCTTCCTACCAGGGAAGACTTAAAAGCCAGCGCTGGGGGGCATTAAATAGCTTTTCTGAGACCTACTGGCAGAAGGCTGCAACTGTGTCAAATGGTTTTGCACATACAAGCCAAAGAAAGTTGCGCGTCCCTGTGTGTGTGTGTGTGTGTGTGTGTGCGTATGTGTCCGCCCGCGTGCGCCGCGCTGGAGACCTTTCGGGGATGGAATTCACCTCCATTCCCACTGAAGAAACAAGGAGCGATCCCGCGGTGGCTGTGCCTCCCGAAGCAAGTCCCCTTCCTCCCCAAAGCCAGACTCAGCCCTGCCGCTGGGGCTGCCCCCTGCGACACAGGCCAGAAGCCGCCCTCCGAGAGCCTGTCCGAGCCGCGAGCACAGCGCCTCCAGGCTGCCTTCCTCGCCGGCTCCACGCACACGGGGCTCGGCCCCGCCGCTCCGTGGACGTCGGCAGCTGGAGGAGCGCGCGGCGAGCTCCGGCCTGCGTCCGCGCTCCGCCTCGCGCCAGCCTCCGCGCACAGGCGCCGCCGCCGGCACCTCGAGCCTGCCCCTGAACCCGCACCTTATCCATCGCTCCCCAACGCTGCACAGGCTAGGCCCGCGAGCGCCGCGGGCTGGGGACGCCCCTCTCGAAAGCGCCGGCGGCCGGTTCCCAGGCACCACGCGGGCTGCGCGCGAGTCCCTTCGGCTCTGGTTTCCCGCACACTACACGCGCTGAGCCCCCAGTCCTGCGGTGCCCGCCGTCGCTGGCTTCCAGAGAAACTTTCCCGAAGCTCCTGTTCCGGTGGCCCCGCGCTGGGAGGGGGTCGGGGGCGCGGGGCGGAGGGGCGCAGAGGGAGCGAGAAAGGGCCGAGTGCAGATTCCTCCCGCAACTCCCCCACCCCCAAGTCTCGGCCGCTCCCTGCCTCCCCCACTGTGAGCTGAGGTCGAGCGAGGTGCGAGGAGAACTCGGGGGCCTGCTCTGCGCCGTCTCCCAGAGTGGAGCGCTGAGCACATCGCGGGGAGAAGGCGCTCCCTACCCGATCCGGGCAAGCCAGCGGGGCGGGCACTGCCCGGCCGCCCTCCCGGACGCAGCGCGGAGCCGGGACACCCACAGTCCGAGCGGGGGGCTCAGCTCTGTCTGGGTGGCCGGCCCAGCGCCGCCTCTGGCCAGGTCTCTCCACCCTTCCCCCTCTGGGGACATCTATCCGGAGGGGCCGCACCGACCGAGGTGGAGGGCGCAGCTGGTGCCCACCCCGGCGTGGAGGGCTCTCCGCCAGAAGGGCCGCGGCCGGGAGGCACAGAGTCCTCGCCGCTCCGGGGGGAGCTGCGGCGGGGGCCGGGACCGGGGCGGGGACGCCGCGCCGCCCCGAAAGGCCGCCCCCCTCGGCACTCGTTCCAGCAAACAAAGCCCGGAACCGCTGGTGCCAGCGGCCACCGGAGCCCGGAGCTCACCAAGAGGCAGGGCGCGCGGGTGCCAGGGCCATTACAAGTTTCCCGCACTCCACGGAGCTCAGCCCAGACCTCGCGCTGACAACAAAAGATTGCGTTCGCTTCCCCTCCGTCCCCGCTGCGCCCCTTCTCCCACCCCAAAACCCAAACCCGTCGCTGGACGCACACGGCGCTCCTCCGCCCAGCCCCCGCCAGCCCTCGAGGGCAGGGCCCCTTTCGCCGCCTTCGCCACCGGGACCGGGCGCCTCGGAGGACCCCACCCTCCCAGGCCGCTCGTCTCTCCGCCGGCCCGACAGGGAGGACGAGCCCCGGGTCCAGCACACGCGCCGAGCGGCCATCCGCGCCGTCGCGGTCCGGGGCGGCGCCGGGCGTGTGCGCGGCGCGGGTGGGGAGGCTCGCGGCACAGAGCCCGGCGAGTCTCTGGGGCGCAGGGCTGAGAGGGGCGGCGGGCGAGGCTCTCGGCTGTTCCCCCAGGGCCGGGCAGGGCTCGGGAGACGCGGACGCGAGACAAAACCAAACGCAGGCACCACAAAGCCGGCGGCGCGCGGCGGCTGCACCCCAGGACCCTCCGGCTGGAGCCCGGCAGCCCGGGAGGTGGGGCGCGCAGGGGCGCCCGGGCCGTACCTTTTCGGTGCATGGACGGGCAGGCGGCCGGGGCTCGGGCAGGCTGGCACGGCGCGCATCCCATTTAGTAATCCATTATCGAGGGGCTCTCTCCGGGCCGCGGGCTGCGCTCTCTCCTCCGCACGCCTTTGTCATTCCTACATGTGTGCCGGCGTCTCCAGTCGCGGCGGCTACTTTCTGGGATGCAGGCGTGCAGTGTTCATCTCCAGTGACAGGCGGAGAGGGGGAGAGGGAAGAAGAAAGAAGCCAGAAGGAGGGAGGAAAACCCAACAAGCCGAAGCAAAAAACCCAACGAGGAGCAGGGTAAATGTCCAAGAAACTCTTCCGCAAATCCAAATTCCACTCGGATTCCACTCCGGTGAGTCCCCTCAGTGGCGTCCGCGCCGATTAAGAAGTCATTTCGGGGCGGGGGGCGGGGTGCGCGCTGGGGCAGGGGCGCACGACTCGGGCCGCGCGGGGCGGCGGGCGTGGCGGTGCTGGCTGGCCGCGGCCGCACGCTCCTACGCGGGCATCGCGGGCGGTCGGCCCCGCGGAGAAGCGCCGCTGCTGCGTCCCGGGCGCTGGGCAGCCGAGTGCGCGCGGAGCGGAGTTGGCTGCGGCTTCACCCCGTGCCGCTCGCTACTCCTCTGTCACCGGAGAGGCCGCCGCTCCCGGGCGGAGCCAAGTCCCGGACTGGATTGCGCAGGGCGGACTCTCCTCCCGCAACCCCGCCTCCTTTGGCTGGCGTCTCCTCCGACCCGAAGGAGAGCGGGGTGGGGGGGAGGGGGTGCGAGCGAGCCGGGCGCAGAGCGGGCGGACCTCGGCGGCGGGGCTGCAGGTGGAGCCCGGGAGCGACCGAGCCGAGGCGCCTCCTTCCTGCACGGTTCCCGGCCCCGTGCGCGCCGCCCCCGGCGGAGGTCCCAGCGGGGGCGCCTCCGGCCGGAGCCCAGCCCTCGCCTGCCCCACCCCCACAGCGGCTCTCGTAGGGGGAAGGGAAAAAAAAAAAACAAACCCGGACAGCATTGCTGCGTTGTGCCAAATCAGAAAAATAAATAAAAATAGACGTAGTGCAGGAGCCAGTTACAAGAAAGGATTTGCCCATCGATTTTCTTAAATGGAAAAGTTTTTTAAAGGGCGAGGGTAAGTGAATGGCGCGCCCGCCCGTTCTGTATGACTGTATCCGAGGTGGATCCCCGAGGCGGCGGACGCTGCGCGCGGCCGGCGCGGGCGAAGGCGCACCTGGACCGGGGGCGCGCGGCTCTCGGCGCACGGACGCGTGGCGCAGCGGGCAAGCGCGCGCGGGGACGACGCGACGGCGTGGCGGACCCAGCGATCGGCCGTGCAACTTGTGCGCTCGCGAGGGTACGGTGTGCATACTGCTCTTACAACTTGAGACGCGAGACCCCAGCGAGTCCACGGAGAGCCCGGCACGGCTTCATGGAAGGAGACCTCGCGGCCACGGCCAGCGCGCGGCTGGCCTCCGTGCGCGCCGGAGCTCGCGTGGGTCGGCAAGTCCCCCAGCCCCGGGCAGGGGGCCGCCGGCCACGCTGCGCCCCCCGACTCGCGCGCGCCCCTGCCGGGCGGCGCAGAACACTAAAAAGGCGCCGGCCGCCAGGCAGCGCCCGGAGCGGCGCTGACGAGTCTGGGGTCGGCGGAGGAGAGCCGGGGGAGCTAGCGCGCGGGGTCTCCGCCCCACTTTGCCCGCGCCCTCACGTTGCTCGCTGTACCTGTTCCCAGGCCGGGCTGCGCGCCAGACCGTATTCTCTTTGTGCCGTCCCTGCCTGTAAAGACATCTGCCCACGGGGTTCGCGGGGAGTAAATCAGCACGTGACAGCCTCCCCCACCGCCACCTTTTTGTGAGAGTGAGAGGCAGAAATTCGCACCTGGGGAAGGTGGGGGGAACAGTTCCGGGCGAGCCGCTGCCCCTGCTATTCTGCAGCGCGGCCGGCAGGGGCCGCTCTCCCCACTTTTCCCGGGCCTTGGGTCGCGGGGGGCGGGGGCTAGGGGCGGCCCCGGGTGCGCGCGCAGCCCCACGGCGGGGCGCACGGTCTCCGGGAGGGGCCGGGGGCGGCGGCCGGGCCGGGGGCGGCCGCGGCGCGGTGCTGGGGGCCAGGCTCGGCGGTCCGGCGCGGCGCTGCTGGCCTCCCGGGCTGCGGCTGGAGCGCAGGGCGGGTCCCCGACCGTGGCCCGCGTCCTCCCCGGCTCCCGCGCAACGCCTGGCGCGCTCGCCTGCTGCCTCCGACCTGCGTGCCCGCTGTGTCTGCGCCTCCGAGGCGCCCCACTTCCGGCCTGTGATTGCAGCGGGAGGTTATTTTCAGTATCAATACTTGTCGTGTTAGTCGGTGCTAAACCTGAGCCCAGAAGCGAGAGGCTGAAATTTACCTAATGTAAAATTACGGAATACAAGGGATGCTCCACCCAGTATCTTCCTGGCCACCTGCGGGCCCCAGGGTCACCAGCCAGGAAGATGCCCATCAGCCGGGCCACGTGATGTTACGCTTACACCTGCTGCGGCGGCTGCACTGGAGCCCAGTACCCCCGAAGCCGGGGGCACACCTGTGGCCAGGCCAGCGATGGAGCCCCTGGAGCGACTCCCCTTGGGTGGCTTCAGACTCCCAGGAGCCGGTGTTGACTGTCACGTAAACGGGCTGCCCCTGTCCACTCCCTGCACCCCGAAGCTCACCATCCAGGGGCCTCGGCCCAGTCCTGGTACCTCTGTAGAGCCTGAGGGTGCTGGCTTCCCAGAGACCCAGGGGCTGCGCGCTTAACAAGCGACCGCCGCTCGCATCGCCACAATGCCAGGTCACCTTTTACAGGTGTCAGGTGGAGGCACGCGGGAGAGAGGTGGTTCGCCCAGCCTCAGCAACTGGGCCAGGCTGGGAGCTGCCGAGACAGCGCCCCTTCCCTACCCGGCCGCCTCCGAGCTCCTGGACACAGTGTGGGGGAAGGTGCAGGGAAACAGGGAAACTGCGCCGGGGTCCCTGGGAAGACAGAATCTCCCCTTGAAGACAAGCACTTGGCCTGCGGGTGCTTGCGAGGGCTCCTCTCGCAGGTGACCTGCTTGGAAACTGTGTGTACCCCAGACTGCCGTCGCTCTGTGTCCCCAGCCCCTCCTCATCTTGTCGGAAATCGGTGGTTTTCCTGACCCACCTGCTCGACGGCATTGGCCAGAGGAGCTGCGAGCTGCCACCTGACCCACTGGGGCGGCCTTGTGAGCAGTCAGCGTGACCGCTGCCCGTGCCCACAGCGCTGCCCTCCCCAGCCTGTGCCTCTCCGGTTATCTCACACCCTCTCAAGGTCTCCCAGGGCTTCGGGGGCTGTGTCTTCCCAGAATGGGCCCCAGACCGCCTGCCCTGGGGTCTACCCCACCTCCCGGGCCTCCCCTGGGCGCTCCCGCTGCCCCACCTTCAGGGCTGCGTGCTGGGCCTTGTCCACTCCTGCTGATGCCACTGCAGGTGCAGCCCACCTGCGAGCCAGCACCACTGCAGCAACTCTGGTGTCTGGAGACCTCCACGCCTCGCAGTGCGTCCTGCCCCTCTCCCTCCACCCGCGTTCTGCTTTGGCCAACGCCTGCTACAGTTAAATGAGATCCGGCTCCTGAAGCCAGTGCAGCCGGGTAACCCCGAGCCCTAAGCACGGTGCTAGGCGCTAGGAGGGGGGCCTAGAGGGAGGCGCGAGGCCACTGCAGGTGCGCATCAGAAGGTGCTGGCCCGCCAAATCCTCATCCTCATTTGTCCCCAGCCCTCCACCCTCGAGGCTGCTGTTTCGTCGGGTCAGCTAGGCCACTGCCCCCAGCGGCGTCGTGGTGCTCGGCCTGTAAACCTCCGAAACCGTGAGCGCAGCCTCTCGATCTTTCTGGTAAATGCCCGGGTCTGAGTGGGAGCGCTGAGAAGCCCACGGAGACTGCGCACCCCTGGCTCACAGCAGCTCCGAGTTGCGGGAACACCTGCTTTCTCTGCTCACGCACTGGGCTTCCCAGACCTCCTGGGAGGAGCATGCGGGCAGCCTGGGTTGGCTGCCTCAGTGAGGTCCCTGGCACCACTTGGACCCTGAACTCCTGTTATCTCGGTCTCTTTCTGCCCTGGCAACTTGCTGCTACCCCAGGGCCTCAGGTTCATGTGAGACTGCAGGGACCCTTCGGCTTCTCTGCTCCGTGTCCTCCGGGGCACAGGCAGTGCCCCTCCTCCAACAGGAGAGCAGTCCCTCCCCACGTCCCTGATGGTTCCACCCCATTGTCTCTGCCCTCACCTGCATGATGCTATCAGGCAAACCACGCCCCCACCTGCACAATGCCATCAGGCAGACCACGCCCCACCCAAACGACGTCATCAGGCAAACCACGCCCACCTGCACGATGCCATCAGGCAGACCACGCCCCCACCTGCATGACGGCATCAGCAGGTAAAGCACTCTGGGCTGTCGCACCTTAGACACAAGCCTTCCTTTCAGACTACCCCATCTCTCCTGTGGTTCAAAGCCAAGGTCACCGCCAGCCACCATTGCCCCTCCGTCCTCTTCCTCATTTGTCCCAGCCCTTGACCCCCAAGGCTGTGGCTTCAGTGTTCAGTGACATCGGTGAGGGAAATCTACTGATTTTCATTTAATTTGAATTCCTGAAGCAGTGAGCACGGCCTCTCCCTCCTTGGTGGAATGTTCTGTGCTCTTCTCCAACAGACTTCTTTTTGCATTTTGTAAAAAGATTCATTTATTTATTTAAAAGGCTAAGTTACAGTGAGATAGAGAGGAGAGAGAGATCTTCCATCAGCTGGTTCACTTCCCAAATAGCCACACAGCCAGGGCTGGGCCAGGCCACAACCAGGGGCTTCCTCCAGGTCTCACATGTGGATGGCAGGGGCCCAAGCACTGGGTCATCTTCCACTGCCTTCCCAGGCACATTAGCAGGCAGCTGGATGGGAAGTGGAGCAGCCGGGACTCGAACTGTTGCCCACATGGGATGCAGCCCAACCCACTACCCCATAGTGCTGGCCCCTCTCTTGGCATTATTAAAACATTTTATTTTCTTTTTATTTCTTTGAAAGGCAGAGTGGCAGAGAGACCTTCTACCCACTGGTTCACGCTCCAAATGCCCACAACAGCTGGGGGTGGGCCAGGCTGAAGCCAGGAGCCCGGAACTCAGTTCGGGACTTCCATGGGATGGCAGGGACCCAAGTACTTGAGCCATCACCTGTTCTCAGCGTGTGCATCAGCAGGAAGCCGGATGGGAAGCGGAGGCAGGACTTGAACCCAGGCACTCCAGGGTGGGAAGCCGGTGTCCCAGGTGGCGTGGTGCCCACTGCACCACCGCACCTGCCCCTCTTCCCTTGTTTAACTTTATTTTTCTTTTGAGACAAATCTGAAGATACAGAATTGGTGAAGGATATTGTAACAGACGTCCCAGTTTTTCCCATTCAGGATGAACTTTCTGTCGTATTTGTTTCCGGTCTTTGTTTTAAGAAATAAAATGTGGTAGGTGAGGCTTCATTTCCTCATTTTCAGCGCTGCCTTCCGCATGGTCCGTTCTTCATGCCAGGAGCTCTGTGTGCCTCTTGCAATGACCTGCACCTACCCACGCTTTTTTTTTTTTTTTTTTTTT